TGAAAGTCATCATTCGAAAATGACATGCAAGATAATCATTGAAGTATAAATCGTACAATACAAGAGTATGGATATGAAACAGTGCCCACAATACGACCATGAATAAAATGGCCCGTCGAACTACAATTGAGATTATTCGAATTACGTAGTCGCGCACTCATTGGTAGAACAATAAAATAGAATGACATAAATGTAGATAATGTAGCAATATATTGAAGATATTAACATCAGAAAAGAGAAAGATCTTGTTCATCGATTTTATAGCCATTGGCCAGTAAGTAATAAATAAAGTAGAAAACATTGTCGGTGGCTAAAACAAGAAAATAACATGAAAATACCTGATTACGCAATGTAAATAGAACAAGAATAGTAATGCTAAAAGAATTGTTAATAACACCCACACCCTATATTCTCTAGACTTTTCCGTTAAGGGACTCAAAAAATGATATTTAACTCGTTTTGTCTGTGTACTTGTTTACCTAAAACAAATTTTTAAAACTACTCTCTGCTTAAATGTATAAAGTATAATTCTTACTTTCTGTATTTCTAGGACTTTCTTTTATTGTGTTTCTTTTTCAATTTTCTCTTGAGATTGGTTAACAATTGGATGTAGTGTTGTTTTGATTGACTTGTGTATTGTATCTACATAGCCCAACAGTGTATAGATTTGAAACTGTTTCTGTATACATAACATCTGCATTCACATCACATTGTTCACTGTCACTCTTACTCTCTCGCTCCTTCTACGTATAAATATCTGTTTTAGAAATGGAAACTAGAGTACCATTAACATGTGAGATGGATTTGTATGAATACTTCATTTCATCCAGACATTCAATTTTTTAAAGATTCAAGTCTTCAGTTGCATATCATATTCTGTTTTGAAAATATGTATTTTCATACTATTGTCCAATACTTTTGTAATATCATAGGTTAAATTATGTCACAGTTTGCTATCAAAAAGATTCCATTCCACATAACCACTCATAGAAGTAGTGTTCCAACATGTTCTGATTGTCAAATATTCTCAATTGTTGTTTCATTGAAAACTATATGAGAGAGAACGATTGATGGATTTATCATCATATATAATCGTGCATAGCTGAAATGATTGAATCTCACTCAATAGAATTTGACAAACTCTATCGATGTACATCAATTATCAGAAGAATCTGAACGTTGACAATGGCAAATTATACATGACCATTGCTTCCATCGTGTGATTGGTGAATTTTCGTCAATCAAATTCGTTCTTTATATGAAAGAGAAGAATTCGGTCATTATATATAAATGTTATAGTCAAAATTAAAGTTTCAAATTTAATTAAGGTGTGAGTGTGGTCGGAGATCGTTTCCTCAGGCAGAAACACCCACACCAGAACCCGTTGGGTCGGACTCCATAGTTACTGCACTAAAAGTAATATTCAATTATTACTCCCATTCTTACACGATGCCTGTGAAGATGTCGTAACAAATATGGTACTTGCTGAATCTAAATATGCGAAGAAAAAGTATCTTCGCAGTGATTATCAACATGAATTGAAAAACTTCATTGAAGATATTACGAGTACGAATCAGGTTTGGATCCAACGAACTTTACCTCACACTCTATAAACAACAAAAGGAAGACAGAAAGAAAGAGAAATCCAGGTAAGATATACAGGAATGACAAGTCTACATTGGTTGTTCTTTGTTATCGGAATTTTGTCACTTCCTGTTCATCAAAGAAAATATTTTTAATTTCGTCTAGTCCATATTGAAACTTTAATTTTGACTAGACAAAACTCAAATGTCAGTTTTGACTAGGCAAATTATAATTTTCATCTTAACATAAGTATACATATATACGAGATAATTCATAATCACAATCGATCGATCAGCAATAAACGGTATGTATGTTGGTTTTTTCAAATGAGTGAATATGAAACCTTTCAGAAAATCGTGAGAAAATATTTTCCAATTAGTACAACTTAACTATATTGACTTCTTCTGTAAAAAGAATGTGTAAATTTCAGCGAATTATTCTTGAAGGTACGAGGAGCGTCTAAGAAAGTGAACTCAATCAATGCAACGTTATGTCATAGTTTCATCTGATCAAAATGGATGTATTTTATTTAGTAGAAAGTAACTTTTACTTGAAAACGATAGATAGTCAATGACAACCAAAGTCTATTAATACCCGTTTCTTTTTCTGCGTTGGATTGAAACAAGAATGACTTGAATGTTAACATTATATCTATTTATTATCCTATTCATTTTGTTTCTTCGCTCTTTCATGTTTGGTATGCGTACATTCTGCTTCACTCTAATGTTTGAATGATATGATTGGTATTCATCTTGTTCTTATTTTTGTTTTAAGAGGGAAGATTCTTCAATACATCCCCTTGTTTTTCACTGTTTACTTGCAAGTAATTTTATTCTAAAATATTGAAGATTATTATCATTTGAAAAGTCGGTTATGCCAAACTGATATATAACTAATGGGTAAGACCGAAAAAAGGTTCCAATATTTGCTGAGTGGAGTAAAAATGTTTGTCAGTTGAAAAGTAATACCAAAAAAATAGGGACGTAAAGAAAAATATTTGGTCTTTGCCAGTATGAAAATACATTAGTGTCGCTACGTTCGACAGAGAGAATGATTACCCTCTACAGTCCACTAGTTAGATTCCATTCAACTGTATTGGGTCACTTCTTTCTTGATTCATTCACACGTATCTTCATATAATCTTTATCACTTGATGAAGAAATTGTCAATATCATTCTTATTTTTCTTTTTCTTACTAGATATATCATGAATAATCATTCGACGCATAGTATTGATTTGTATGAACAAGTGGTTTCGAATGATTTTCTTCAAAATGCAAATGTATATAACAAATTTTTACCCATGTATGAATCCGTCAAAGAACAAGCTTTGACATCATTCGAAGAAATTCGAGAGAATCTATCGCGTACGATTCAATTGGGTGAATTACAACCGGGCTTCGTATTTTGGTCGAATGAATTGACATCGTTTCTTTCACTCTATGGTTTCTCTTTCACCAAATGTGACCATCTCAAACTCATCAATTTTTATCTATCAATTCTTTCCATAACCGATCTCAATTATTCAAATGCTGAGCTCTGTTTTAACATGCTCTTTAGTCTCTTACGGTTCGTATTATTTTGCGTAATCATAAAAAAACAATAACTAATTTTATGATAATGCTTTATAGAAAGACTCGCTTGATCACTCGCGATGATCTGATGATTGATTGGCACATTTTTTATCATTGGGCGAAACTTATTCATGATAATCATGATCAAACCCATGGTCTTGTTGCTTTGCCAAAGTATGTAGTTGTTTTTTTTCATTTTATTGACTACAAGAAATATGTCAATTCTGTTTTGATGCTTCTTTTTTGTTTCAAGAAATATCAAAACATCGTTCTTTTGCTGCATACACTACTGTTCGCGATATTTCTCGGCTACAGCAACGCAAGAGATTCTCGATGAATTTCGTCCACATTTATGTCCAACCGATTTAATTTTCACCAAGACAATTCAAATGCTCCAATATTTTCTTCCGGTCCATCTGCCTCCTGATTTGCATAATCAAGGATTTAAGTTTGTTTCGCTTTTTCTTTTTTATTTTTGACTATATATATATGATCTTCTTTTGCTAGATTATGGCTACCTGAATTATTTGGCATTTGGGAAAATATCTACAATCATACAATCTGGGAAATGGTGAAATAAAATCTTTTAAGGATATCATACACCTCTTTCTTAACTCATCTATGTTTGACTTTTTATGATCATTGTGTAGTCTAAAGTAGTATCTATCTGCTGAGTATACGTTTGAACTCAAACATTGTCTTTAATTGAAGAATATATTAAATTTAACGAAAACTGTGCATTATTTTGATAAAAAGAGTCTATTCAAAAGAAAACATGTTTTCTTTAGAGTAACTTCGATATTCTGGTTTTTGTTAATTCGAAGGACAAACAATAAAAATACCCATCATAAGTAGTGCTTAGTATTTGTAAAAAGAATTTGCAGCTCTATCGAACGCAGCATTTGGGAGACGCGAGGGTTACTATGATCTCCGTATTTGATTGTAGACAACATCCATGAACTTTGAGTTTATAATAACTTTTATTCTACTCAAACAAGATCTATCTGTTTTGAAAATTTCAAATATTTTTGATGAGTTATTCTCGATAAATCCCGGAAATGGATGGGGTACCTATAACAATGTTCATTTTTTATTTAGTATCTCACCGAAATATTTGCATCAGTAGCTTGGTATAATATTGGCTATATTGACTGGGAACCCTGGCTGTCACAGGTAATTAGATTATTGGAATTTTGTTTTTTTATTTTATTTTACCGATGACTATTAAGATCTTTACACGGATACTACGAGGCTTTTGTCTTCCAATCGGTAAATTGAATATGTCTCCGCACACATATGGGTATTTGATGTACTCGATCAGTCGATGGATCGTTAGCATGATTGGTAATGGAAGTGCTTGTATTCAATATTTGCGAGACCTATTTATTGCTATCAAAGTTTTTTATCATCCATCTAATACGGGCCTATTTCAAAACGATCTTGTTAGCTTTGTTTCAAACTTGGCTAAGTATTTTGTCATTCGAATTCGTTTGTAAGCATAGCTATCGAATATGTTTCATTCATCTTACTGGTATCATATTTTGTAGAGAACGCAAAGATGTTTGTTCGTGGGATTTTACTCCGCACGAATCATATGGATTAACTGAACGAGATATTATTAATTTCATTGATTGTATCAAAGAATATGCTTTGATTTCCATTTTCAATAAAACCAATGCTAAGGAAGCAGTTGAAGCTTGCCAATATTTGTCAATGATTCGACCACAGTCAATCATTCCATCAATTGTCGATAAGTATGTTGTTCTTTTTTTTTGTTTGTGAATTCATAAAGTATTGAAACATTCTTTTTTATTTTGTTAGACTCTTCTCATCAATTGACAATATGACTGAGCCACATCGTTTCACTTCAATTATGAATTGTCTTACGCGAATAACTCGTCAAATTGTACAACAAACATCTTGTTATTCTCAAGGACAAATCTACGTATTACCATTGTTGATGTCAGTATTACCTGGTATCGATTTGAATGATTTCGATAAAACATCAATTACGTTGGACTTTTTTGATACGATTTTTATGCTTATTACATGTGCCGATTGTTCATCAGCTGTACAAACTCGAAATGATCTTAGCGACGTAAGATTCAGGTTTCTAAATAAGAAGCGAATACATATGTAAAATCTGTTATTTGTAGATTGAAAAACAAGTATGTTTATCAACGAAGAAATTTATCGATTTCATTCATGAATTTCTCGAACGAATATTTTATATGATAAAAATATTATCGACCGAGACATCCGACACCAATGAATTTACAACAGAAATCAATATTGATAATGTACTCATCGAACTTAAACTCAAATCGATCATGACTAACATTGTACAAAGATGTAGTAACGAAATCTTTCAAGTATGTCTTACCTTTCTTAGGTCGAAACAAAAAAACATTAAATTGAAATCATTTTTTCAAACAGGCCATTTTAGAAATAGCTGTGAATCAAAAAAGGATCTCACGAGTCAATAAAATAAAGATAAACGATATTAAGAAAAAAACGAGAAAAAGTCAATTTTGTTACATATATTTCATTATATCTCGACAGGAAAAAACCTTGGACATGAACACTTCTAGGGTTTTCTTAGTCTCACTGGAACGTACTTTTATCCAAAAGATGGAGTCACAAACTCGGAATCAGTTGAGGTTCTACCCTCGTCAGTAATGCAGTTTAGTGAGAATAGGAACGCCATATATAGCCTATCTAACAGGTTACTGACAAATATGTTGAGCATGTTTAGCTTTTGAAAACTTTTGAATTTGGAGTTAGAAAGAAAGAAGCAGTTGGTGTCCGATGTCACTTGTAATATGACTTTTTAGTGGACATATTATATCAGTTATCATTTTTCTATAATTTGTGTATCGAGTATGATATGATTTCAACGATAACCTATTTTTCATTATTGCCAATTTCTTTTGTTTTGCCCTGTATTAAGAGTGATCTCTTTTGAATTGTACGATGTCTCCCTAGGTAACTAACATGTTGAACAAACATTTAGCATAAGAAAATTGATCTTCGTAAGAAAACCGACGAAAGCTACATAGAATATATAAGATATCCTGTCTGTAAATATGCATGAAGTCCTTCATTATGAGACAGTCAATAGAATCTATGTATACTTTGAAAATTTTCTTCATAGTCAAGATAATTGAATCAGAATCTAATTGATGTGAATGTAGACTCAAAACATGCTGCAATATTTAATTCTTTTTGTTCATGTCGAATATTTAGGTGATACAAGAAAAGATCACACAATGTTTTACTGGTGCTTTTTTATCACCTAAAGTAAGAAAAATTGTCGCTAGTCTTGTTCAAGCAATGGTTACTGGAAATCCGATCGAAACAATCAAATATCTCTTGCCTCAAACATGTCAATTCATCAAAAAGATTATCAACAATATGGAAAGAACTGTTTTATTGACCGATTGTAAAGGTGATATTGAATTAACTTGGTTTCTTATTCTCTTCTCGGAACTTGTTCGCGCTCGTGGTGATGTTCTACTCAACTACAAATCAATGATTATCTCTATATTTCATCAATGTATTCATATCATTCACAAGGACTCATATCAAGCTATTGCTCAAGCAGCTACAAATGTACTTCAATCATTATCAAATGTCTATCCTATTGATGATCGGTCGACAATTGATAACAAAAATGTTTTATCTGTTCGAGTAAGTTGTCCTAGTCTCTATATGCCAATGTCAACTGATATGATTGTTTAGACATGGGGACAATCGGTGGATTTCGATCGATTACAAATACAATATCATATTCCGAATGCAGACGAAATTGATTTTGCTTGTGAATTCATTGAAACATTCATCTATCCTGAATTAACGTCGTTGAATGAGAATATCTTGACAATGTCGAATGATGAACGATTAAGATCACTCACTATTATTCTATACATTGCCATCGGATGTTTGCGTATGGTACCACGTATTGATAGTAAACACGTGTCAGATTTGTAAGTGAATATCGAGTAAGAACAAAGAAAAATTATTCATTGAATTTCTACTATTATAGCATGCTATCTGTTGTCTCGACTAGTTCTAATACTCAATTTCAATGTTCAATCTATCCGAAAGAACCAAGTAAGAAGAATAATCCTAAAAAACCTTATTATGATTGATGTTTTTAGAATTTCGAGAAAATCTACGAATGCGTCTTTATATTGACATTGGGCATTTACTCGGTAGGTATTTGATTGATTAATAAGTACAATAAAAACAAAAATGATAATTATCTTAATGATATAGATGTAATGATGGAAAATCATTTGGACGATGTTTCATCAATGAAAATAGCACTTCAAGTAAATCTAGATCATACATACTTGTCTTCAATTCACCATCGAATATATTCAATTGTAGATCTATTCACTCTCGTCTCGCTATAATGGTGCATCAGAACAACGTGTTAATCTATTGTACAGAGATATTACATTAAAAAGTAAATTATTCAAGAATAATTTATACGGCAAACGACAATATCCTGGATTTTTAATAATAAAAAAACTCGAATTGCAGATTGAAGTAAGTTTTCCGTCAGTCTGCTCGACAAACGATGTGATAGACATGCCATATAAAACATTGCGAAAAATTCATTTTCGAACTTTTTTTGGATAAAAGAAAAATAGGATTCTCTTTAAGTCGGTTTGAAACTGGAAATGTAAAAAAATCTTCTTTTTCAATACTGTTACTATATATTTGTTTCAATTCAATAGAAATTTTATTGAATGATTTTATTTTAGAAACTAGCATTACGTCACAATAAAACGATGACTGAAATCGACAAAGAAATTATTCTCAAATTGTTCGACTGGTCAATTCATCGTTATAGTGAAGTTCGTTATATTTTCGCTTTCAAATATCAAAATGCTGATATGTTTCTTTTTTACATTTCAGGTACGTCGCATTGCACAAATGGAATTATTCGCTATTTTGAATCGTTATTATTTCGGATTTGAAGTTATTGTCGATCGACTTGTGGCATTACTCAACTCATTCGATGAAGTTAATCATAATCAAATTAAAGTGTGTTGAAAAGTTTGTTTGTTTATTTTTGAAACTCTAATTTTTTTAGGGTTGCTTCCATATTCTTCATGGCAATTATTCTTTTTTCTTTCCTACAAAATATTCGTGGAAAATGATGAACAATTTATGGCCAGCTATTTTAAGCGCGAAACATGTGACCAAGAATAGCACGCAAAAATTGATTAATGATGTTAGTAAACGCATAAGTAAAACTTTTTCTACGAAAGATATTATTCAAAATACTAATGAAACGGCTAAACATGCGGCAGCTACTCTTTGGCGTCGATTAAAATCAAGCGAAATGAAAACATGCGAAGAATCCAATCGAACAAATATTCAATTGTACAATCATCTAATGGAAACATTGAATTCGTTACTTATTGCCGATACATTGTCAGTCTTCTATTATTAGATTTAATAATGATTTTATTTTATTTTTCTTGCCAGAAATTGGGGACAACAATAAATGACCATGTCATTCTTATGTCTTCTTCTACAAAAGTATGTTCCAGTTCCATCATCATGTATTCGAACATTTGTCCAATTTCTTGTTCATGACAATAGCGAATTGCGGCAGGTTTGTGAAAAAGTTTTGATTAAAATATCTAATTTACAGCAAAAAGTATTTTGAACAATGGGTGTGTATGGAATTTTTGTTCTCGAGTGAAAGTCATTACATTGTTTTCTGCAATATTCTATGTACAAGAAAAATATTGACGAAAAATCAAATTGAATTCGATATTTATGATTATCATGAGTTTTTAAGACTTAAAACAAAATTTATCATCTATAGGAATCATTTCAAAGAGCTTGGAGCCGAGAAAAATTTAGCTAATTCAATCAAATCAAACGAAATCAGACAAAGTCAACTAAAACCATTAAGATTTAGTTTTCAATGATTGTGAAAGTATCTTTCGAGCGACTATCTTGGTTTGTTTGTAACTTCTTCTAGTGATTTTGATGATTCTATCTGGTTTTCTCCGTTAGCTTTTAATCGATTGAAAAGAATATTCTGTGAATTTTTTCTTTCGATTAGCCACTATTTTAAGGATGCTTGATCGAGTTCCCTTACAACTCTTAATGTGCCCAAAATACCATTGGAATTTTCTATGGGAAAAAAGTTAAGGTAAAAATTCAATGTTTTGATTTCATCTTTTTCTCAAAGGTCAAATCTATTTAGATATTACCTAGGCTCAATAAGACTTCATTTCAGTTTAAAAATAATTCATCATTGCATGAACTTTCTTCGTACATTTTCCTATTGATTTTGTTTAGTATGCCGTAAAGGGTATAGTAGCATTTTGTCGCCTACAAAAACCACCTCGAATCTTTGTCGAAAAGCCTCTTAATGAAATTCTACATCGGAATGGACAAATACCATTACCAATCATCAATGGTGAATGTTATTCGGGTGATCGTGACGATAATTTATGGGTGACTATCAATCATTATCAGCCACCAGAAACACAAATTGAATGGGAGCAAGAATGTTTTCTGGGCAAATCATATCATGGGTATTATACGTGGCCAAAAAGGATCAAATATTCTATGAATAAACGAGCACGTTACACACGAAACGAGATGTCAGAACAAGTGGCCATTATTTATGATTATTTTATAGACAAGACATTTCTTACACGATCAATACAAGTGATAATTTTCGATGATAATAGCGAGCGGATTAATTTCGATAGAACACAATTTGCCATGTTCAAAGTAGGCAAAGAAAATAATATTTTCATGACCACACAAAAAGAAAAAAATATTCAATCGTTTCGATTGATTAGTATACACATTTGTGGGTTGTGATGTAGGACTAAAACGAGTATAATCAAAGAGAAAGCAGCTGCTCATAATTCTGAAATGGAGCCAAATGTTGAGGTATATAGTTTTTCGTCAAGATTTTACAATCTTTTTCATCGAAAACTCGTCTAAACTGAGCGCTTTTTGTTGCACCCAATAATAAAAATAGCGTGTTCTCATGATATTATCAATTATATCAGTCATTTTCTTTGATATAAAGCTCAAAATAGACGAGTAAATCGATGCCAATTTGGTGAAATAACTTTTCGATGTTTTGAAATTTTCAATTGGGTCTGTCCAATTGAGAATTCAATTAGAGTTTTCTGAACTGATTCAAAATTTATTATTCAGAATGTATGTTATATCTTGTGATGTTAAAGGAAATTTTTTTGACGATGGATTTTGTTCTTTTTTTTTATTCTCTGATTGAAATCTGATGTTTCTCTATTTCGAATGAAAATTCTTTTTAATCTAGGGTCTTTTTCGTAATTTTGGTTTGGCATTCATCGATAATTTTATGGAACAATTGTACATTCTCGTTCGTGAAAAAACTAAAGAGAAGCAAGAAGGTAGTCATCGGATAGCTGCTGAAATCGTTGCTGGAATGATTCGTGGTTCAAAATATTGGACATTAGGCATGGTGAGCAGAAATTCTTCATTTTCAAATGAGAATATTTTGTTGAACAATTGAATTTTGTATACTAAGAAAATTCACTAAAATAATGACAACTATTTATGTCACTAAAAATTCAAGAAAAATTTTTAAAGTTAATTTGATTTAGCTCGATGAACTCTGGAAAAAACTTACACCACTTCTTACCGAAGTTTGTCTCAATCTCAGTTCGGAGACTTCTGACTATTGGAGCTCATGTTTTCGGCATAGTATGGTTAGCTATATTGTTTTGAATGTTGATTCTTTCTTATTCTAATAATCTTTGTAACGAAAAGGAAAATGGAGATCCTCGTCGAATGTATCGACTAATTGAATTTATTCGTACATTGATGCACAATCAAACAAAAACTAATACATTGACTGAAACATCACGCTGGTGTCTTATACAGCAATTGCATATTTTTCAATGGAGAATTCCATCGATTTGGAATGCTATTAGTGAACATGCCAAAGATCTTCTCGATCATAATTTCAAAAATGTACGAGATCGAGTTGCTAAGTAAGTAACTCATTTGTTAATCCTTCATTTCAATAGAAAAACAAACAAATAAATAACTCGATTATTTCGTTAGTGTGTTATCAATATCGCTCAGCTTCGATATGACATTATTCAATGGAAAATCAACACGTCAATTGAATGTCGATCATTTCATCGATGCTATACGTGAACGATTGCAAGGAGCTATTGAAATTTATGAAAAGGCTCCTTTGAGTATGTGATATGCTTTTTTTTGCTGTTTAAAACGATTATTTTATTTCAGTGAATATTTCCGATAAAGTCATTGAAATCGATATCGAAGCTCGCAAAGCATTAAACTTCATTGAAACAGGTAGAATTATAATATCATTTTGTTTTTTTTACTAATAATGATCAAATCTAGTAATTCAAATTCATGCAAACTTCTTTAATCGATGCCATCAACCGATCAAACAGGCGATCGTTCGTATTTTTCCCTATGTATGTACATAAATTATTTGTTGATTGAAAAATCATATTGTTGAATATGTATGTATTCAGCTCTGTGAAATTGAAAGTATCGCAGCTAAAGATGAACTTTTGAAATCACAGTTGACAATCAGTCGAATGCATGTCGGTATGGCTTATTTACATTCACACTATTTAGAAATGATTATTCAACAATTGGAACAAGTATGTATACAAAATATAGAATATATCAATATTCATTTGCATTTCATATGTAGGTTTGTTTGAGTTTAAAGTGGCATGCGCGTCATGCGGCAATTGAATTTGTTCAACATATGATCTTTTGCAATCTATTCAATGCTCGTCCATATGCTCAAAAATTGCGTGAACTTCTCTTACGATGTTTATTTGATGAACAACTCGAAGTGCGAACAGTTGCTTCGATGACATTGTCTGGATTTTACCAATGTAGTTATATCGAAGTGACCGATGAAGATCTAGTAGAACATAATTTTTCTTTTTTTACTAATGCTAAAACAAGATTTTCTTTTCTCTTTGGTCTCTCAAAGAAATATTTTAGTGTCATGAGCAAAACAAAATATTATACGAAAATCGATGACAAAAAAGTAACATCAACAAAGAATCTTGTCAAACGACATGGTGGTTAGTATAAATATTGAGACAACCCATGAATGTCCGTTTTCACTCAAAGAATTTTAAAGAAAAACTTTACAGCACAATCTCTGCAACATTGAAATAGAAAACACAATCAAACTATGTTCAGTTTACAGAAGAATATTGTAGGAATATTTCTTTTGCTGTTTGAGACTTGGTTTTGTTATGATCCGTGCATGAGTAAGAAAAAAACATGTCGATCTATTTGAAAACACCAAACCCCGAAAAATTCAAAACCTGTCTTTCTCATCGATAAAGTGAAAGGGAAAGGATCTTTATGAACTGATCTATCCATAGGCACTCACATTTCAACATACAAACTAATAATATTAATGTTTGTTTATCATTATAGGTGTTTTGGGACTCTGTGCAATAGTTCAATCGAGTCCGTATGATGTTTCAACTTATGTACCAGATGCATTGATGCTTTTGTGTGAACATTTGTATGATCCTTATCTGATTCAAGTATGTTACTTTCAAACTACAATCATGTTAACCAATGGAAGACTTTTTTTCTTGATGTAGAAATCGATAAAACAATGTTTGTCCGAATTTCGTCGTACTCATCACGATTCTTGGCATGAACATCGGGAAAAATTCACTGAAGATCAACTTAGCATTTTGGCTGATGCACTTGTTTCGCATAGTTATTATACTTGAATGATTTACACAAGCCTATATTGAAATGAACTTAATAATCACTTTTTTTCTGTTTTTCTGGGCATCTGAACAAAAGAAAAGAATAAGTGGTGAAATATCGAAGAAAGAAATTTTTGAAAGCAAGATCGAGAAGAGAAAATCTGTAAACATACAAGCTTGAGAGTAGGAAATACTAAATGATGCAAGATCTTGTTCTCTTTTCTTTGTTTTGACATACAAAAGTTTTCAACTAAGCGCTGCATTTAATCATCATCGTTAATACAAGCTCTTGTCAGAGACTCTTCCACATTTTTTATATTAAATCTCAATGGTTCATTGATATAGCTAATTTCGTTGGGAATACAAGGATGATAATTGCGCAGAAATTGCATAGTAGACATTTTCATCCGTATTTATCTACTAAATGGTAGCAAACATTGCATAGTAAGCGTTTTCAAGTAGGAGGAATATCCAGGGATTGACTGGAAACGTTAGCATTTCCGAAAACAGAACAATTTCGTTCCGTTTTTGAGAAACTCGTGTATGCGTTTGCGTAGTGTAATTTGGGTGTGGGTGTGGGTGTGGATGTGGGTGTGGGCGTGTGGGTGTGAGTGTGGGTGTGAGTGTAGGTGTGAGTGTGGGTGTAGGTGTGGGTGTGGGTATGGGTGTAGGTGTGAGTGTGGGTGTGGGTGTGGGTGTGGGTATGGGTGTCGGTATTGAAAAGCGGAAACTAACCCACACCCACACTCACACCCACATTCACACCCACACCCACACTCACACTCACACTCACACCCACACTCACACTCACACCCACACCCACCCACACCCCACACCCACCAACACCTACACCCTTTTATAGAACCACTATGGAGACTTGCAATTTTCACCTTTTAAAAGAAGATGAAGATGCATCAAACTATATCTTACAGAGTACTTTGACATAATTAGTTTTATTATGGAGTTAAATCAACATTTTTGAAAATGAACATACTTCCTAAGGTATCTAAGGCAAATTGTTAATAATCAGATATGCATTCGAATTGCTAAATGAAGATCTATAAAAGTAGACAACGCTTACCAGTTCAGATGTAAGAGACATTTTATGTGAAACTCTTGGTCAATTTTTTTTCTTATTTTTAGAGAAACCTATAATATACCATTTGGTGTGTCTTCATCTCTTCTTTTAAATGGTAAAACTGCGACTTTCTACATCAGTTCTACCAAAGTTATTCAAAAAAAAAACTACCTATCCGCTTTTCCTTTTCGAAGTGGCTAACAGTTAAAAATGACTGAGTGTATTATTGAAAGATATTATATCTAATGAATATTGTTTTGTATTGGTATGAAATGATTGATTGATAACTGAATAAGTTTTATGTTGAAAGACCAGTCTTGAATATCGGATTGTGTGACAACATATTATACGAATGTACCTAGAAAATTAATATGATTAATATTGTTTTTATCTTGAGGGTGGATGTGGGTGTGGATGTAGCTACGGCTGGGAATTAAATGAATAGATGCGTTAAAATTATATCCACAATCACACCCCGCCCACTCCATCCCCACCCACACCACACCCTCAAAATGTAGTTCCGAGTTACTACAAGATGGTCAGTTATTGTCAAATCAAAGTAAATACACAAGAGAAACAAATAATCAACACATCACCAGCTAATACATGTAATCCTTTCTGTATTTCATTATAACGTTTTGCTTAATCCTTTTTGTCGTGAACAAATGTTAAAGACTTGAATGCTGGCTCTAAAAATGTGGCAATCCAATGTAATAGTGTAATAGAAGATCAATATTTATCACCTAATGCCTTCAGTATTTCAGATTTCAATGTGTTGATTATTTGTTTCTCTTGTGTATTTACTTTGATTTGACAATAACTGACCATCTTGTAGTAACTCGGAACTACATT